GCATTTAGTTAAGGGAGGGAGAACACAGGGAGCAGCTGCAGAAATAGGGCGGAACAGTAAGCACCTGGGACAATGGACAGGACATTCTGTATTAAGACAGCGTAGGATGTGCATGAGTGTGCGTGTGTGTGTGTGTATGTGTGTGCCTGAGCGCTGATCTACTAATCTGGGGGTGTCATGGTAAGTATGTTGCCTCCTGAGTAGGCAGTGAAAGGAGTAGGTGTTCTGATGAGCAGGACCATTCCTGACAACAGATTTGTAAACCTTGGAGAAACACCTGCTCATTTTCCACAGCAGGTCTCTTCCCGTCTCATGAATTATCACTCTATCACCATCCTTCAGCAATGAAATCCAGCGCTAGGTTACAGTTCTCTAGTGGGGAATCTCCTTGGTGCCGCCCTCTGTATCTCAGCTGCCAGAATAAGAAATCGGACTATTATTTACCAGCAATCTTCAAATGCATGGATTTAATCTAATTGTGGTATTCCGAAAAACACATCTAGAGGCCTGTGGGTACATTTCTAATTTAGTATATATACACACATACACACGCACACACACACAGAGTAGCCTTTCTTAATAATGTTCTCCAAAATAGCTCAATGAACTTGTTTTTTCTCCTCTAATATTTCCACGTAAATCAATCTCCCTTGCTTTTTCCACCCTCATATATTGTTCTCATTTCTCATCTATGAAAATTTTCACTTTGTCCTTGTTGTCCTGGCAAACAAACATTAAATAAACTCTAACAGTCCCTGGCTGTTTGAGAGCAGCCATGAGGTGGGAGGCTGAGGAATTCTTCAGTGGGTTAGACAGAAAGCACTGCAGAACCATGCTGGGGTAGAGCCTTGAGTCTGGGGGCTTCTGTCAGGCTCTTGGGTCACTTGGGTGTGGGGAAGTGGTGGCAGGGAATTGCTGGTCTTGTTGCCCACCTCAAAGACCACAGATGTAACTTCCAACATCTCATGTTCTTTTAATAACTCATTCAAAATCTGCCATCCATGACTTTAAATCTTTTGAAGGCTATTTTTACACTCAGGGAATAGAAATTTCTTGGGTAGCAAGTTCAATGATTTTCCACTCTGCCACCTGGATTGTGCCCCATCTTTGCTGAGGGACTGGTTTCCCCACTGGGGTCCACACACCATTGTCTCAGCCTGCCTCGCTTTCTGAGGGCATTTTGGCAGAAACCCAATCACCAAGGAAAGTCTCCAACTCTCTTGAGTCATATACCTTGTGTACAAGGTCCCTGATTCTATTTCATTCTTTGTTGAAAATTTTGGAATATGCTTTACTTGCAGAACCAATATGAGTGAAGTATCTAGATAGTCTCCAAAGGTGGTTTCTGTTATGTTTTGTGATATTGTTTGTTACAGTCCCAACTTTCTTTGTTGGACTATCTTAGTTTACTAGGATAGGCCCAGAAAAATGAAAATGAAGTGAGGAAAGGTCCCAGCAAGTACACAAAAATCTTGAATTTTCCCCTACAGCTCACAATTCTAGGCTCATATACCTGGAGTTTAATATTCAAACCCTTAGTAAGCAAGACTTCCTCAAGATCTAGTCTTTACCCACCTTACAAGCCACTTCTGGTTCTCTAAACTGTATTCATAAGCTGCCTTGAGCTATTTATTTGCCATTAATGGGAAAACAGGATTCTTAGGTTTCTATGCCTTGCCATATGCTACCCCCTTTGCTAAGAATTACTATCAATAGAAGAGTTCAAAATTCAACTTTTCCACAAAACCCGATCCCAGATTCTCAGAACTCCCAGAAATAATCCCATAAACTAAAAATCCACAAGCCTCTGCTCACACTTTATTTTAATAGGTCTTCAAATTCATTAGAATTATTTGTTAGATGCCTATCTATTGATCTAGACCATTACGTTTTCCAGAGCAAAGGTCACATCTTGTATTTAGCAACCTAGCGTACCCCGGGTCACGGGAACTCATGAAACAACTATTTGCTGAGAAGATGAATAAGAATAAATGACGGCTTTCTATAGGCTATCCAGCTCGCATCCTTACTACTCACACACACACCATGCATTGCCAAAACACCACACAAACACACACACACACACACAGATACACATACATACACATGTACATATACACAGAGGTTCAGGTAAACTGGAACAAGGAGGCAGAAGTTAGATGAAGTTACAGGTGTCATTTCTCTGCTTCATGGAATTATCCATTTGCAATTTTTTTTGGCATTAACGGCCTTCATCAATGTTCTCCCTTGTCTGAAAGTCATGAATGCTTATTGCTACTTTCCACCTGGTACATTAACCTAGATTTTTCACAAGGGAATTCATTTGAGCTATTACTTGTCTAGGATCTGGTAGTTGTACTTCAAAGGAAATCCAACTAATTTTAAGGTAAGCAATATAAGAATGCTAGATGGGAAATGTAAATACCCTGCTTACCTTCACCTTCTGGAACATTAAAATATTCAGGAAAATCAAGCCCACCATTGATTTTCCCCTAATGCCCCAATACGTATCATTAGTTGGCAACCTGTCAGGCAGTTTGCAATTCAAATGCCAGTCTTCATGTTCAAACAATTTTGACTAATTTTTTTAAGAATCATTCAAAGAAATGTGGCATCAGACTCTGACTTAAATCAAGAAGTATGGCATTTTCCACTTTTCATTCATCTTGTCATTTTATCAGGAAAATGCAGTCATTTGTCTGGCACTTTTTTATATACATGTAAACTCACGCTGCTTATCACTCCCACTTCCATTATCCTCAAGATAGTCACTTTTCTCCCCCTCCTAATAGTTGCTCCATTATTTTATTAGTGTCCAAAATGAGACCTCATAGACAGTGATGATCAGAGAATAATGGAAATTAGAGATGGAAATGACAGATTAGGTCTCCTTGTCTGTTTCCTGGGGCTAATATTCCTGTCAGTCTGTAACTCAGCGCTTTAGCCTGCCTTGTTTTAAATGACACCAGTGTGAGCCTTCACCATTTCCCTGGAGGCTCTTGTCTACATCCTCAGATTGTCTCTATACACAGCCAGAGGGAATGACGAAGCCTTGTGTAATTACCCAGTGAAGTAAGGCCCGTCCTCCATGTCTACAAGGCCAGCGATGTGGAGGCTTGAGTGATTAGCTACCAAATCCAATCACTGTAGAGAGCCAGCCTGGATCATTCAGGGCAAAAAAACAGGAAATGATATTTTGCAGTTGTTTTCTTCAGCAGCAAGTTTGCAGGCTGTGAGAGAGCTGGTTATCCATCACTCTTTACAATATTTTGCTCAATAAGAATCACAGTCAATAGAGATACTCAGTCATCATATAAGCTAAATTCCTGCACCTATGCTAACATTTCAGGAATCAGAAAGTAAGAGGACTAGACCCATTTAAATAGAGTATGGGGGTGGGGTGGTGCTTAGACATGTATTAGCCAAGTTCCTAGTCCTTCCTTCCCATCTTTCAACAACAGGCCACTTTCAGGGTATTTTCCCATTCACAAACATCTCCCTCTACATTTTGCAGACCTCCTCCCTGTTATGATTTCACATTTAGTAGAAGTCTGAGAAATCCTTCATTTTCACTAACAGAAAGACCTCACGGTATTTTGCCTTGTCCAAGTTTTCTGACCTGCAACTCAGATTTCCTTTCCCTAAGTTCATTCTCTCCTGTCCTTATTCTTCACCTTCCCCCTGTTCCAGAACACTTGCCCTCTTCTAATGCCCAAGGGCATCTATCATGCCTTGACTTAGTCATCAGCTGGCCAAGTTCTCAGAGTTGAGTTCTCCTAGCCCTTCATCATCAATCACTCTCTTGGGCTCTTCAATCATTTTTATTGCTCTTCTCCAAACTCTCACCCATTTGTCTCCATATTTATTGCTTTGAGAGTCCAGAACTGCATTCAATATTCTAGGCTTGGTCTCATCAGAATCATATAGAAGAGGCTGATCGTCGACCTCGGAGGTACGAGGCTTCCATGGCAATGTGTGAAATGATGCTGGCTTCCTTTTTCCACCTTGTCAGGCTGCAGACAGATTTCAAATCTGCGGTCTAAGCAATCACTCCCAGATGGCTTTTGCCTTGATTTCTTTCTAGTTTTTCCTGTTCCATTGATTGTTATTATTACAGAGCATTTATTGAACCCTTTCCCCTCACATCCACCTCCATGGCCAATGCAGAAAGCAAGTTCTTGGCACTCAAAATAACGATGAAAGTTGATCAAATGTAACACAATGTATGGAACTGGATTTTAAAACTATATGAAAACTGTTCACACCAAAATAAATTTTTTAAAAAGGAAAAAAAAGCAACAGAATGAAGGAGTGTGGTAATGTTGCACAACAAAATGAATGTCCTTCGTGCCGATGGAGTGTACACTTAAAATGGTTAAAATGGCAAGTTTTGCGTTTTGTATATTTGATCACAATAGAAAAATTAAAATGTGAAAATACAAGATCAAAAGCAAACGACGAGCTATTTTATCCCACGCACATGTGCATGGGGGAAACCAAAAGTCTTACAGAGAAATGTCAAGTGGGCATCAGGCAACGATGCCCTGACTCAATGCGAAGCACCCTCTGGGCCTCTGCATTCCCCCCTCCTAATGGTCCTGGTGAAAACAAATTTCTACTTATGTCAGTCTCGCAAAGCTCAGCACTACACTGGCGTCTGCGTGGCTTCTCGGGTCTCCAACAAAATCACCAGCTAAGTTCTGCCTGTGGAATCCTCGTGGCTGGCGGCCGTATGCAAAGGAAGAGAGGGACAGCTTGATTCTCAGATCCCAGCTGGAGGCTGCGGGGCTGCGAGTCAGAGGCTTCATCTCTGAACTCATAAATGGAGAAAAAGATGATATGGACGTCATTGGAATGGCATAAATATGGAAATGCACGGTGACATTTTTACCCATGTGCTGTGCAGAATATAACCACCCTGTAGCACTGCTCCTCTGCACGCAGCTGGTCCCCAGCGTGTGCATGCGAGGGGGGTGCAACTCCTGGGACCCCTCACTTACCCCTGGTTTGTCCCCCATTCGTTCCGAATGCAAAGGTGCTTGTGCACTGGATCCTTCATGTAACCTTCGTAGCAGAGGCACTCCCCTTAGAAGGAGGGTGGGGAGGAAGAAAGGAAACATGAAGGAATTGATTAACATGTATGCATTGAGAAAATTAAGATGAACTCATCAGGTTAAACTCTTTCTCTAAGGGTGACATGGATGAGACAATAATTCCTTAATGTCAAACATTCCTGTTTCCACTGCTCACAAGAAGGGACCCCTAATTTCTCCTGTTTCCACTATGCGATAATTTTCCCTAGAGGGGACTCACATGTGTATAAAACAACTTACTCGCTGTAAACACAAAGGCCAAGAACCGTGAGTAAAGGGATTTTTTTCATCTTTAGTTTTTCTAAGGCTCAGTGGATCATCAGATATATAGAAGGTGATTGATAAGTGTTTAAGGACAATATAAGTGAGTTATTTCATCCTATATTTCTAAGAATCTTCAAAAATAGATATACTAGTTATGATGGTAGGAAAACTGAGATTCAGAAAAATGAAGGGCTCTGGAGATAGCTCGTAAAGGGTAGAGTTACTCTCTGAACAGGTGTCTGACTCCAGACCTTTTTTCCCACCATGCCATGCTGCTAGGTCACGGAACAACTATTTGGAGAAGGCTAATTTTACTTTTTATGGTTTTATAGGAACTCTGGGTTTAGTTTTTAAGGAAAAGTGGTTTATTATCTTGGTACTGGTAAACAGAAGGATCCTCCATAAGTCTGTATGTGTTTAGGTATTACTATGCTTCATATCATCATTTATTTCATTAGCAAACCAAGAAGTTCATGACCTCTCTGGAAATGTATATGGCCATATGTTTATCTGTCTGCACAGGGTTCCACAATATTCTTCTGCTTTACAAGCAAATCCAAGACCCCCAAATGATCAAGAACCATTGTTCTACTTCATACTGATCTTAAAGAACACCATTGCTGCTTCTTTCTATTAAAAATTCCTTATGCAAAAAAAAAATGTACAAAATGATGTAAAAATAAACTGTTGTAAAATAAAATTAAAAAAAAAATTCCTTATGCAATGTTATATATCTGTAAGCCACTGAGGCTGCTTGTCCGAATGCCTCAGTGTTAACTCATTCACTGACTGGCTAATTTGTAGGTGAGGAAAGAAAAAAGTGTGACTTCCTGTGATTTGTAAATAAGAAAGGAGTCCTGCCCCAAGGAGACTATGGATGTACATTTATCTCCCAAGGAAGAATCATCTAAAAAGGATAGAAATAAAATAATAGCTTTGCATGCTAATTTCTCTTTATAAAGACAAAAACCAACCAAAATGAAGTGAAGGGCCTCATGATTATCAGGGAAAAGACTGGACAAGGCCTGAGCAATAATTTTTTTTTAGTATTTTAGCTCAACTACCAATCTCAAGTTTGACCTATAAGCTCCTGTTCTTCAGGCCTCACTACCAGATAACACTCATTTTCTTTCCCATCACCTACTCAGCTCAAGGTGCTGAGGAGTGGGGTGAAAATGAGGAACTTCTGAGTTTGTGGGATAGCCACAGAGAACATTAGATCAGTATTGGCCTCCTGTGTGGCAAGTACAGGTTTCATCCTGGCCTACATTTATGACAGGCTCAAATTCACTGGCATTAGTTGAGCTGAGCTGTATGTGGGAGCCAGTTACGAGAGCACTATAGGAAACATCATATGAAACTAAGCAATTGGTGATAAGGCTTTCAGAAGGCAGTCTCTCTGATAGAAAGATAAAGAAGGCAAGAATCAGAGGTAAGCAAGATAGAAAATGCTAGAAGCTGAGCCTCATCCCTTTTCAATTCCAGAGAAAGACTCTTATCTATACCACGGCAAGAATAATTTTTGCTCCATATAAGTAAGGCCTTAATAAATACTATGTAATGGAAAATAGGTTACTTCATTAAAGAGTTTGCCTTCATTTCTAGCTAACACCACCACTGCCTCGCTCTAACGCACAGATATCTGTCTAGTCAAGGGCCTAGAATGCTTCTCCCCTAGGGAGAGACTTTCCTAAGAGCCCTGTGGATATCAGGAACAGATGTGATTTAAAAAAAATAATAACAAGAAGTAGCTTCATATATTGTCAAATCATCACTGATGCTTAGAATTGTTTTAGCTGGGGCCTTGTCTGAAATAAAGGATTGATAAATATAGGAGTCTGCCTGTAGCAGGGTGGTCTCCAGGATAAGGGGAAGTTTGGGGTTCCCTGTCCCACTTGAGGAAGGTGGAGCCAATCAGGGAGGAGAAAGCGCTGGAGATGAGACTGAAGGAAGGAAGCAGGATGGGGAGCCAGAAGGTGACCTGAGGGGGGCACATGGAACAGAGACATGTGAAGTAGCTGCACTTGCTTCTTGGTCCTGGATTGGTTGAAACAGATGTGGGTGAGATACCCACAGGGAAGTTAACAATGGCAGCTTTTTTTTTTCTTACTTTTTTTTTTTAGTTTACAAAAGTTTATTTTTACACCATTTTGTACATTTTTTTTTCCATCTCAATTGTAATCCCCGTGGGTTTCCCATCACCAAGTCACCCATGTGCCATTACCATAATACAGTGCATTTCCCTCCCCACCCTCCCGTTTTTGATCCCATTCCCCACTTCACCCCCGCAAAATGTCTCTGATATATGGTTGTTCACTATTTTTTATTTTCTCGCCTGGTCCATTATACTCCTGCTATGAGTGAAATCATCTGGTATTTTTCTTTCTCTTTCTGGCTTATCTCACTAAGTATGATCTTTTCCAGCTCAACGATGGCAGCTTTTATCTTGATTTTGATTTTACTCCTTTTATTCCAGTCATGTGGGCCCCACCTGCCCTTCTCCTAGGGATCCCCACCAAGAGGGGCCTTACACTTGTGGTGGGCTTTCAGGTCTCAGTGGCCCTGCCTTGGGCCAACCATGTTTGGCTGGGCATTTACCCATAAGGGATGGGTAACTTTGGTGATTGATTTTATCTATTCTCTTCCTTCTCTTCTACTTATGGCACATTAATTGTATTAAATTTCTTTTCCATTAAAGGCCTTACACATGGAATATGTTTTGTCTTGATGCAGTGGGTGGTCCTCAAGAACCTATTGAGAGTGGGTGGGTTTGGGGATTCTGGGATGCCTCTCACCCTACCTTGGAACATTTCTTCTATGTTATCACAACATGTAAAGGTAAAAAAAAACAGCCACAATGCAGAGTTCAAGCAGAGCCCAATTTTCCCGATGACGGCAATAGCTACCATTTGTACAGCCTACTTTACCTTCCTCAAGCTGCCTCATAGTCATTATCTCCTTATGAAGCTTCCATCATTCATTACGATGTGGGGACACACTGCTGATAACAAAGAAAGCTTTTCTCTCTCTAATAGCATATGTAGCCCAAAGTCAGAGAAACAAGAGAAATTTCCAAACCTATCAGGCTAGAGCGTGAGGATATCTAAAATTTGCCTCTCAGATGATCTTCATTTCCGGAAACCACCAAACTTCCCTCAAAACCAGTTTGGCCATCCACATTGAAAGGAGTTCAGATTTGATGAGGAAAGTTGCTATAGCAACCAACTGCTAAATCTTGACTTTAAGAGGGGTTTCGTGCAAGCACAGGCTCCGACTGTTAGCTGTGAATTTTAAAGACCCCACAAGGGTGTTGGATGCCCTCCTAAGCTAGAAGTGTTACAGTCTCCGCATCTGCTGTGACAGATGGCGGGGAACACATGACGTGCCGACGCTGTGGTAGTGTTCATAGGAATTCAGTGGAAAGACGTGTCGTGGCTAAGGAGACGTGCCTGATGGAGATGGAGCGTCCACAGGCAGCTGCACTCTGGAGGGCAGACGCCCCGGGCAGGTGACCCAGCAGGGCCTGAAGATGGCAACTCTGGATTTGCGCTTGGCTCCCTGAGGGCTGATCCTTGAGGTGCCTTATATCATTTTTCCATCCAACAGATGAGGGATTGAGGTATACATGTCATCTGAGGATCAAAGAGAACCCAGAAGTGAGGGTCTCTCAGACAGAACTGCACTCACTCCAAGCTCTTCGTGAAGTAAATGCAGATCAAAGTTAAAACACCCTGAGTCACCTATACCCTTCAAGTCATTGTTGATGTTTATTAAATGGAATTGGGTGGACTTCCTCTGAAATCTTCATTAAACATCAGGACTTGGGTGATGTCTACTTGCCTGGTCTTCTCTCTGGTGAAGACTCATGGGGAGGCAGGCCCAGAGTCAAACAACCCCTCAAACAACCCCAGGACAGCAGACAGAAGGAAATATGTCAAAAGAACTTCCTGAAGGAAACTGTTAATAGAGGCACAGAAGAGAGTTGGAATTTGTGGGAAATCCAGGTGGCAGGAAGCAAACATGAGGTGTCTTGAGCTGCCAAAGTGAGTTTAAAAGACCAGAGGTGCCTAGAGAGAGGCAATAATTCAAAGCAAGGAAAGGTGAGGAGGTTAGACTGTGCCTGAAATGCTGGCGCCGGCCCTTAGCAGGCTATCGGCACTTCCACACTAGGTTGAGACCCGAGTCAGAAGAATTCACTAGACATCATGGCTGGAGATTAAAATTTGACTTAGCTTGGAAGCTCAGGCTCCTTGCAGACCCACAAAAGCTACATGAATTGGAAAGGGCAATGAGGGTCTGTGGCCAGGAGCAATGGGTGCTGTGCAATTGAGCAGGTATGGACACCACTGCAGCTGCCCATGTGGCAGAACAGAGACCAGGAATGGAGTGCAGAAGAAGCTGTTGGAACCAATCGGTGTTTCTATCAAAACACATGCACACGCACCAAAGCACAGCAGCAACAATAAAAAGACAATAAAACTTCCAGTCCCAACAGTCAATCTTTAGAAAGTATAGGAAAAGTCAACCTTTGGCTAGATCCAACTAGGGTGTTAAATCATAGAAACTTAGAGCTTTACTGTTAACCCAGCTTCACAGGGTCAAGCCTACAGTTACACCCTGGGAGGATCTGGGAAAGAATGTCAGTTGCATTTGGCAAAGGGCTTCCAGACCTCATGCTAAGAGTTTTAGGTACACTGCATTCCTTCAAATAGCATGCTACTAGAATGCAAGAGAGAAGTTGGAGTGGAAAACAGATCAAGTTTCTCCACACCTTTTAGAGATTCCTCACATATTTCAAAGGTCTGCGTAGCCACTTTCTAGAAACTGGGACGAGGATACATACATCAAGTGGTCCATAATAACACTTATCCTTCCTCTTCTTTTCCGTTATCTCCTTCCTTGCTGTATTACTTTTTGTATAGCTCCCAAATAAGATTGCCACACACTCAGTAGTTACAATCATCAATTTATACCTACAGTCCTAATGGTCAGAAGCTGGACTCTCACTGATTCCCACTGTGCTAAAATCAAGGTGTCTAAAGGGGTATGTTCTTTTCTGAAGACTCAAGGAGGCAAATCTGTCTTCTGGCCCTTTCTAGCTTCTAGAAGCTACCTGCATTCCTTGGTTCATGCTCACTTCTCTATTTTCTTTCTTTCTTTCTTCTCTATTTTCTTTCTTTTCTTTTCTTTTCTTTTCTTTTCTTTTCCTTCCTCCCTCCCTCCCTTCTTTTCTTTCTTAAAGATTTATTTAAAATCTTTAAAAACTGGGGGTACAGACCCCATGTTTATTGCTGCTTTATTTACAATTGGAAAAACATGGAAGCAGCCCAAATGCCCAAAAGTAGATGACTGGTTAAAAAAGATGTGGTACATATATACAATGGAATATTACTCAGCAACCAAAAAAGAGAAAGACATGTTTTTTTTGCAGCAACTTGGATGGAGCTGGAAAAGATCATGCTTAGTGAGATAAGC